GCAGGCACCTTGGGACGAGCGGGCAGCCAGAAAGGACCCCGCCTCGCTTCCGCTGGCGTCATCACCCAGCGCCGGCAAGGGCGCCTCCTCCAGTGCCTGCGGGTGGGCCTCGCCCTGCCCCCAAACCCCCGCAAGAGCGAAGTCTGGTCAACTAAAGCTTAAGTTAAAAAAAGCGGAACAAACCAACTGCCTAGGTAATGATTTACGTATCATCGCAGCCTTAGTCTGCACACGAGCCACTTTTTCTGCAGTCATTTTGAACAATTCTACATAATGCCAAAAGAAAGAATTCAGTTAACCTCTGCAGCACGACCTCAGCTGGGGATGTAACTTTTTAGCAGGGACTGTTGCAACAGGACAAAGGGTAATGGCTTTAAACTAAAAAATGATAAATTTAGACTAGCTATAAGGAAGAAATGTTTCACAATGAGTGTGATGAAACACTGGCACAGGTCATCCAGAGAGGGGGTAGATGCCCCATCCCTGGAACCATTCCAGGCCAGGTTGGACAAGGCTCTGAGCAACCTGGTCTAGTTGAAGATGTCCCTGCTCACCGCAGGGGGGTTGGACTAGATCACCTTTAAATGTCCCTTCCAACCCAAACCGTTCAGTGACTCTATGATGTATTCCTAGAACACAGTAATAAATTCACGCAGCATCTGCACTGCAAGCGGGGTATGGACATGTAACGCACACCGCCTTGTGGGAGAAGCCAAAAACCCCCAGAGTGAAGACTAAGAATGAATACAGCTGTATTACAAACAAAACTTATGACAGAACACTCTTGTGTACATCAAACTTTATAACGACGAACACTTTTATACGTTTGATTTTTATCAGAGGACTGTTTGTTTTTCCCAGCTTTATTTCTCGGAATAGTTTTTAGTCTTTTTGGTTTGGTGCTCTTCTTTAACGGGATTGCTTTCTCACCAACAAATGAATCATTAGATCGTGTTTTGTTTTTTAATGTGGTATCAACTCTGTCCTTAGGAGCACGAGGCTGATCTGGACTTTTCTGTGGTGCCTTCCATTTCTCGCCGCAGCGCTTCACTCGTATCTTTCTTCCCATCAGAACAGTCTCATTGAGTTTCAGTGCAAGATGTACAGCATCTGTATTCTACAAGAACAGACATGCTGTTTAAAAGCAGCATTACTTCCAATCGATTGCTTTCAAATAAACAGTTCCCCATCTTTAATTTTTGTAAGCAAGATTTTACAATAAAGAGCGCTCAAACTGCCCTATGTATTGAATGTCACAACATCTCTGCTCAGAAACACCAGCACACCCACATAGCCCACACCCTGAGGCACAAACACTTGAAAATGGGCTATAAAACAGCTTATGTGAGATGGGAAAGACAGAGGAAGAGAGATGAAGGAGAAACCGGGGAAAAAAGGTATTGGGCTGCAGGAAACAGACTTAGGAGATGAGGCTGGGAGACTGCCATGAGAAAGCAAGCTGTACTGAATTGCAAACAGAGAGAACCAGTAAACCAGCCAGCTGCAGGGAAGAATACCACTCGTATTTTGACACGTTAAGAAATGGGAGAAAACTTCAGTTGTACCAGAACACTTCATCTGTCCCTCCTTTAAGTCTTTCCCTTAAAGTTCATTTCTTTCATCCCAACGTTCTACAACTTTTCTTTGTACACAACCTAAAATAGTTTGCTTTGTATCTGCTTCCACAGAACTGGTCTTCCGAGCTGCTATTAACATACACAACAATGCTACCACTTAATGATATACACAAATCCAAAAAATTATTAAAAAATTTTTAAAAGGCCATAAAGGCAAATCCCAATTCAGTTTCTGAAGAACTCCCAGTGTCCTGAAGCACACCATTCATACATACCTCAAAGAGAACGTAGCCGAAGCCTTTACCCAAGCCAGTCTTTCTGTCTCTCACAATTCGCACTGCTACCACACCTCCACATACAGAAAAGTGCTCTCGCACAGCATCATCACTGATGTCTGCAGGCAAATACAATGACACAGATGTCTCCTCAGCCAGACACACAGCTTTTGAAGCCTGGCCCAAATCCAAATGTTTTATATTTGTCAATTCAGGTACACAAACATACAGAAGTTAACAATGCAGATTTTATAAAGGACTTATTTTTTTATTTTATATTTTATATAAAAAATAATTTGGTGTTATTTTATAATTTGACAGTTACTGATTCTCTAGCTTTAAAGAGTACAATGTAACTCACAAAGGAGAATGAAGGCAAAGACTGAATTAAATTTTTCAAATAATTTTATTTTTTGTTTGAACATAATAGAAATTAAGATTCATGCTATTTTTGTAGCTCATTCTTATGCCAGGATCTCTTTCTAAGAATTAATGCTGCTGATAATAAGCTTGAGCTGGCAGCTTTTGAAGTCTAATACTCATTGACTGAACCCTGAATTTTAGCTGAATGGGGGAGAAGGGATTTACAGTGTCCAGCCACAGTTGCTACACAATTATTTTGATAATGGCTGGATGTACAAGGCTTTTTTCTGCTGCCTATGTGAGCAGACAGGTGTGATGTACCAACACAAAAATACAGGTTATTCTCTTTTCTGTACAGGTACACTTCATACCATTGTAAATCCCTTTACACAGATATAATTATATCTGTGCTAAGCCGGGGGGGACACACGGACTGAATTTAGTAGTACAGGTTTAATTACAGCAATAGGACTTAGATGTTCTGAGAAAGGTTCAAGCTGCTGAAGCCATTTTCAGCACACTGCCAATGTCCAAACAGTTCTTTTCTGCAGGATGCGCACAGGAACATACAGCACTGACACAAGCGCTACACAACAGGCGTAGGTAACATCACCACAATTATATTTGTCACCTATCCAGATTTTCAGACAGGTCAAGTTTCAGGCTGAAGTCTAAAGCCTGTTTGTTTCAGCATTACTGGCAGCTCTGCATCAGGCCATAGGCACAGGGCATGCCTTCATCCTGTGTATTTACATGTCTATACCACCCTTAAGTAAGATGCTCGCCCCAAGCATCCTGACTCCAATTATACCCTCATATGGACCACACCTGATGGCGATCCCTTCATTTACTCTCCAACCTACTCAGCAGCAGCTGAATACTCATCAAGCACTGACTGAACTATACAGTAAGCACCTCCACATGGGTAACAACTGATTGCCAACAGATGCCTGGACAGAGTCATTCACAGACAGCATCAAAATGAGAAACCATCACTGTGTATTCACTTGGAAGTAGTTCACAAACAGCTACCAGTACACATTTGACAGTTTAAAAAGCTATGGCCTATGCAGTTAAGTCATATTTATTTAAAAAATAAATTAAAATAATAATTAAAAAGTAACACCAAGAACTAAAAGTGCTTGCAGTTCTAGTTACCATAAAGAAAACAATTAATCTGCAGAACTTGCCAGAAACTTACAACCCCCTTAGGTGTTTCAGTTAAAAAAAAAAGAAAACTGCTATTTAAAAAATTAATTCCAGCAAAAGATATTTAGCTACCTAAACATGCTAGCCTAAATATCAATAAATAAACCCCCTAATGTAACACATTCCATAAATGTTAAGTAATGATGTATAACAATCCATATTAATTAGACTTACCATATGAGAGATTTCCCAAGAATACAGATCGTTTATTGTCATGCTAAAGAAAACAAGAGATACAAGACAGTAAGTTATTTGATACAGGGGGGAAAAAAAAAAAAGGAGGGGGGGGAGGTTTCTAGTCACACATCTTACTTACCGAACTGTTTTTTGATGCAATGTCAACTCTGATGTGAAATCCACTAGCAATTTCTGTTCCATTTCTTTTGTATCCAAAACCAGAAAGTTTTAAAAACAAAATGGACAAGCCTTACTTAATTTACAATGTCGCCACGTAGCATTATTCCAAAAGCAAATTTACTTCTAAGTTTGAAAAAACATTTTATCCCAATTCAAGCAAAAGAGAGGAGGTGGTTTAAATTTATCTTTTAACACCCTGTAAGTCTACGTTTTCAACAGGGAATGAGGAACAAAACCGAGACTCACTCTTTTAGAGCCTTAATGGCGTCACATTCTTCCTTAAATACAACATAAGCATTAATGAACTTCGCATTAGGGTGCACCTTATGCCTGGAAGGTTAAAAAGATGCATATTGTTAAATCATTCTGATGGTGTGCAGTGCACAAGCACTCCTTATTAAACACATTTATGCCTCCTGTAGTTTTGTGCACAGTTAACAACTTCATTTCTCTTAAACACAGAGCTAGCCCCTTATGCCCAAGGCAGTATCACTGTACACCTTTCACAGCCTGTATATGCACCCTGATCAAGCTTCCTCAGCTCATAAATATATCCAAAGGAATTAAAGACTATCAGTGTCTTCCTCCTTCCTAAAATGTAAGAAATGCAACCTATGTTAACAAATTACTTGCTAGTATACCGGGCACATAATTATTTTTCACTTCTCAAGAAAATTTATATAGACAGAAAGGTAATTAAAAAAGTCACGAGAAATACAAATAATAAAAAAACCAATATAACCAAACAGGTAACAACCAACACTTAAAAATTACTCTTGCCTTGAAAAATAAATCATGAAATTCACAAAAGGAACCTACTTTATTGCTGCTAACTTTTTGGATAAAGTGTCTTCTGCTGGAACCTTTAAGATAAAAAGAGCTTTAGTTAAGTGGGCCTAGTGTCAATTTATCTCAAATATTTGTTCTTGAAAACAAAGAGGAATTAAAACAGGCACCCTTCCCACTCAAAGCAATGTGGCCACAGTACAGTGAGCAAATGACGTAAGTGGCTATCCCTAGAGATGATCTAGAAAGACCTCAGAATTAGATAGCTTGCTTTGACTTCATCTGTTATGTTTCTTGAGCTCCAAGAGTGTTACCTTCAACTGTTTTACACAGTACCTTGTTTTACAATCAGTGTCTTTGCTATTACGATTTAAAAACAGGTAAATAATACCTTAGATAAACAAGCAATAATAAAGGCATTCTTCTCACAGAGAAAACATAGCTCTGACAGTATCAACTGCTGTTACAGGAAAAGTAAAATGTGATGAAAGGAAAGACAGGTCTGCGGTGCCTCTGTGGTAAGACCTCCAAGCTCCCTTCTAATGGCAAAAAAATACACCCCCAAACCCACTTCTGAAGTAACGAAGATACAAGCCTTATGAATAATTTAAGATCAGAAACATAATTTTATTATACAGCATTAGAGGAAATAACCTACCAAAGACCGGAACCGAATGGATTTTATTTGTCCATACTCTTTAAAAAGAGATTTCAGCATCTAAACAGAAAATATTACAAATATTCAATACATTTTTGCAATCTGGTAATAAGAATTATTGTTGAATATTTATTAGTAAGATTGGTTTTACATTATTTTCATTTTACTTTACAAGGTAAAGTGCTACTGAAAATATGCAAGTAATTTGTAACTGTCTCTGTGTTTCTTGTGGCAGTTCCTTATTCTACGAATTGCCAAAACTGAATTCGTACCCCTTACTATGGAAGAGTATAAATCTAACATATTCTTCTCCTATTCTATGAAGTATTATCTGCATTCAAAATTAGATGCGTTCTCTAGCTTTGTAATCGTAAGTCATTTTGTATTTAATACTACTAAAGAAAGAGAAACTGCATCCACCGTTGTAAAAAGCCTAACTCCAGTATAACAAAAGAGATAGCCTCTAATCGTTTCTGATAACGAGCATTATTTCCTACTTTCCCAAAAAGCAATTTTAGTCACAAGTATGTGTGACTTCTCATCTGGAAACGTCCCGTCAAACTAAAGACTGCTGCAATTCTTTTCTTTCCTTTAGCAGATGAAATCCACTCACATACCTGAACAGTACAGTTGACAGGCAGGTTTCCAACAAACACAGTTCTTCTGTTTACCGTTTCATCAACCACCTTTTTTTTCTTTTGTTGTTTTACAGTAGTGCCTGTGTCTGAATTAACAACACTTTTGGTGACGGCAGGAGAAGCCCCCTTTTTTTGTTTCATTTTGTTTTGAAACAGTTTTTGCTCTTCCTCTTCATCTGCCTGCTCCAAAGCACTCTCTCTTATCAGAAAGAGACAAGCAAATTATAATTGATGGGGAAAAAAATAAGAGTTTTTGAGGTCAAAGAATTGAAGCATCCAAGATAAATATTTTAATTTATATTTTAAATTATATCCAACATAAAATTTCAAACATTATTGCTTATTATGCATAAACAAACGTATCTGACCATTCCCTAACATGGAAAACTATTTGCTGTCCCCAGGACGTGGCATCCACTATTTAGTAGGAGTAATAAAGAATTCAGAATTAAGTAATTTGATATCCTCTAAAATTGAAGGGGGGGAAAAATTGTCTTTGCATACTAGAACTAGAGAGAGGTCTAATTCATCCCAGCATCCAGGACACTCACAACAAACAATCCTTTGGGATTCATCCATACACTCACAAGTCGATCTACCCAAACTTCCTGTAAGAACATGAAGAATAAGCAGATCTGAAGAAGCCTCTGGAACACTACTCACACTCAAACAGCAAGCAAGTTTCATGGGCATGGAAGATGCAACAACACACAGTGCCAGAGAGAGGACAAGGTGTTAGCCTCAAGCTACAACCAGCCAAAATTTATTATCCAAATTTCATTGTACAGAGACTAGCTTCTTGCCTGTGCTGACAGCATCTTGGTTCAACCCTGAGTATTTACGGGAACAGACAGTGTAGTTCTATGTCACAGTAGAGGGCAAGCGTGATAAAGACAACTAACTCTGGTACCTTGCTGAAAAAAAACCTCTGCTCCTTTGACTGTGGCTCAGCTGGATAAAGCCAGCCACAGTTACAAAGCATCACCTCTCGTGCCAGAGAGAACCCTTTGTCTAAATCTACAAACCTCCAGACCTGTTAGCTCTCTAACACGGAATCTACACTTCACAGACCTAGAAATTCAGAAAGTTGGAAGTGTTTACTACCTTCTGGGGGAAATTACAGAAAATTTTCACAATCTTCTTAAATGCCAGGTTCAAGATGAAACATAGAATCTTTAGGTTGGAACAGACCTTGAAAGGTCACCTGGTCCAACCCCCCCTGCAGTGAGCAGGGGCATCTTTAACTAGATCAGGTTGCTCAGAGCCCCGTCCAACCTGACCTGGAATGTTTCCAGGGATGGGGCATCTACCACCTCCCTGGGCAACCTGAGCCAGTGTCTCACCACCCTCATGGTGAAAAATCTCTTCCTTATACTTAGTCTAAATAGAACTTTATTGCTTCACTGAACTCACAAACTTATGATTAATCTAGATGTTAGGTTTTTTTAATCTTATTATAAAAACATATCACCTACTCACCTGTTTGCCAATTTTTTTTCTGCTTCTGAAAGTTCCTTCTTTCTGACTTTCTTTGCTTTTATAGTAGGCTCTTGTATGACAGATGAGCTCTGGTCTTCTGACACTTTCTCCACTTCTTTTGTATGCTTTCTTTTCTTATTTTCCTTTAAAAAAATTTTTTAAAAAAATTAACTTGAAAAACAAAATTCCAGAAACGCCCTACAATTATTTTATGTACCATAGTTTATTTGTAGCACCACTAACTGAAGCCAACAAGTCCAAGAAGTGGTGCTTCCCACATCCAGACCTGCCTGCTCGCGGGTGCACCCACCCGGCCTCGTCACGGCACTCCCAGCCCACGGCGGATTACCGCCGGGACAGCACACCGCGAAAAGCGACCGTCGTCCTCGCACTTCAAAGATTCACTTCTCGGCTCCCAGGAGGACGCACCCCCCGCTAACCGCGCCCTTGAGTAAGCCGCCCGCCCTCCCGTCAACCGCCCACC